AACAAGCAGTTTGTAAAAAATTAATCCGTCTCAACAATATCAAATTATTTTCTGCTAAATGATTCGTGCTAGGGATTTTCAGGGGTTAGGATCCGTCCAAATAATTGTATTTTTTTATTGTTTATAGATATTTATTGCATTATCGGAGAATAGCACGTTAAAACGTTGCGTGAGTTGACTATTAGAATATGGCAAAGCCGTTTTTAAAAAACAACGAAACTCTACTGACACGTTTATTTTTTATGAAAGAAACTCTGCATGTGTATTTGTTGAAAGATAAAAATGATGTCACTGGTAATCAGCGCAAATGTGCAGTAAACGCATTGTCAGCATTTCGCTGATTCAGCGGAACGCGTATAGGACCGTCACATAACTCCTCCATCCCTTAGATTCAACTGTATGGTACTGGGCAGTTGAAAAGGAGGTCCCTCAGGGAGCATCTGATAGCATCTGTTGGTCTTCTATAGCACGGCTTTTGACTAAACTTGATATAGCAGAAATATGCAACATTTGACTTTAGGAAACCATAAATTAAGGTTGTTCAAACTAAAGGTGTTTTTGAAACTCCCATTGGCATCATACTTTGTGGTTTCGCAGATAGTATTTGAGATCGAAGTTCTTGTAGTCCATCCAATTTAAGGTCATTTACCTTAAAGTCCAATTTTAGAGAAGGCATCAAGGTGGGTTCTTCGTTAACTTCCGGAAACAGTATCGGCGTGCTGGCATTTGAGGTTTTCTCATCATTGATAATACATTGATTATTTATTGAGAATTTGCAGCGTCTAGGAATGTCCATGATGTAGGTACCGAGAAGGTTCAATGCTTCAATTTGCGTTGGGCATTGCAATTCGGCTTTCTGTTCCTGTGGACTGAGGATCAACCATTGGTGTGAGTTAGAGAGTTGATTAATGATTGGTTCTTCGATCTGGATTTCAATTGGTTGACAGCTAGAACACTCTCTCATTTGGGATAACAGGCACACCGCGCAAAGGCAGTTCATCTCGTCTATTTCTGTTAAATCTTTCCTATCACAGAAGTATTGCTGTGACGAGATCTTATGACCGCCTTGATTTTGATATGAAAAATGCAATTTTGATTTTATTAGAAATTTATTCCACAGCAAAATTGCCTTGAACCGACTTTCCTTCAAAATTGGTGTGAAATATAAATGAAACAGTTCGAATTTCTCTTTACTGGTAATTGGAATATATAACAAATAAGTTATTTTATTATTGTGAGTAAAACATTCTATATCTATGATATCTTCAATTAAGTGAATATTGCCTAATTCGGGTTGTAACGGCATTTGTTCTGTACCTACACGTTTCTCTAAACTTTTTGATTCTAAAAGGAGATCTAGAGATTTTATTATACTTGGATGAATAGTTTTGAGCTTGCAAAATGTTATTGAATTTTCAATGTCTTGTAAGAGAGAATCAATATAGAAAATATAAAAGATTGATAATTTTACTTAAAATATTTTTAATATAGATTGAGTTGTCTTTAAAAGTAGTTTTCTGCACAATATAAGTTATTTGTTTAATTCTGGTTTCCAACCATTTTTCGTGTTTGCCAACTTCTTCAATAGTGTTATTGAACTTTGAAATTAATTGCAACAATATTGAATTTTGCTTAAATTCATTTTCGGCTAATTGGTTTTGATTTGATTGAATTTGCTTAATAATTTTATCGTAACGCTCGCCGTCTGAGGCATCTACGTTCCCAGTTAGTGCTTTAAAGACTGATCCTAACAGATTTACCGGTTTTCGTTTAATTCGTTGCGAATAAGGTAAAATTTATTTTAATTTGTTTTCTACCCTGGTTTGCGTAATTCTTAGTATTTGAACATAAATTGCATTGTCTTCTAAATAGTCAGTATTCGTTTTGAACATACTGATGATGTTTAGAGATTTTAAATGCAACTTATTGATTTCAATAAAAAATGGATTAAGATCATAATATTGAATTAAAGTAAATCTATAATCAAGCATTTTTGTGTTTCTTAATTTTATGGGAATTATTCCTATATTGTCATTCAACTTTCGGAGAACAATCTTATCTTGCAATCCGATGCTTAGACATTAGACAGCAGGATGCTGTTCGCTAGCCTGAAAGCAAAAATGATGATTGTTGTTTTATCTAAATACTTGTAATGTTATATGATATATGCGTTAATAGTACGTGCTAGTGCTAAGAAACTACTTACAATATAATATGTTGGTTGCATAAGAATAAAAGCTTATTAGTCAAAACTAAACTTATTTCGAAGAGGTCTTTTTATGTTGGCCATGTGAATTTTTCCATGGGCATTTGTTGTCACTGTTTTGCGATGTTTACTGACCTTGATGATTTTCTCAGGTTTAGTAAACTGTTCTGCCAGTTTTTGACGAGTAAAATTCTTCAAGTAAACGTCCTATCGTGTTTCAAAGGAATCGGCATTTTCACGAGTTTTGTTAATTTTGCTGATGACATTTTCTTTACTGTTCACAAGCTTTTGATTACGTGTCTAGTAAAGAAGTTTTGTTTTATCTCTATGGTTTGAAATGTAATTTGATAATAATAGTTGGTCAAGGTTTAAGTCAAAAGGGTCATTATCAGTGATGTGAAATAACATCAATCGCCTTCATCTTGATTACAGAGTGCATAGTATGATTATAAGCTATTTGCTATGCATATGTGATTTTTTGGGAAACCATCGAATTTTTTAAGTTTTGGGCGTTTAAAAGTCTTATATGTTCACTTAAGGTTGAATGGAATCTTTCTACATTACCATTTGATTCAGGGTGATGTGGAGAAACAAAATGGATTTTAATTTTGTGTAACTGCAATAATTCTGTAACAGCAGCATTCTTGAATTCGGTTCCGTTATCTAAAATTATTTGATTTGGAACGCCATGGTGTGAAATGAAAATTAATAAATTGTCAGCAATTTCGGTTGCAGCTAAAGATCTTAAATGATAGGTTTGACCATATTTAGAGAAACTATCCATGATGGTTAAGAATTTTGTCTGTTCAAGTGTATAGGTATCTATATGAATTATCTCAAACGGTCTAGTCGGAGTAGGGGTAATATTCATTTCAACTTTTACAGGGTGTTTGTCATATTTAGTTTTAATGCAAATTTCACATTGGTTTATGTTTGCACAGAGTCTTTTTGATTAGGCCAGTAATAACGTTCTTTGATCTTTAAAAGTTTCATCAATTCCTCGATGATTAGTTTTACCGCAGTGATAGTTTCAATTATTTTAGCAGTTCCCGTCAATATACCTTTTAAACTATTAAGCAAAAAGACATTTTGGAAATTGAGATGATTAGCAGCATTATAAAAATTGTCTATTAAACTCTGACAAGTTGACAAATAACGATTCAAATACACATTTTAAGTATTCAGGTCAAAATTGTGCTATCTGAAAACTACTTAGAATTTTGCTTGGGAAATTATCGGTTTTTTCCTTAGTTAGTAATGGAACTTCAAGTAATCTTTTTGAGTTTTTAGTTAACATTGGTAAACTAAAAATAAAATATTCTAAAATCAAAAACAAAACATATGTCAGAAGTAACCACTTCAAGAACAAAAAAACTAGAGTGATTAAATAAAATATACGGTTTATATGCGAAAATGTTTAAAAATCTCATTTTCATTTAAAAATGAATTGACAGGGCAGAAGGACCGATTGGGTCGATAGCCTTTTTCTGTATGAAATCAAAATTATTTATATTATATATATGAATTAACATTTAACAATAAAAATTTTTGCAGGTGCTTTTTACTGAGTCTAGTTCTTCGCTCGTAAATGATAGCACCCGGTTTAGAAAATAATTTCTCGCATTTTGTTTCACAATAACATTAAATAATCCACAATAGCAAAAACAGAAATGCGTGTTTGGCACGAATGTCAGAAAACTAAATACTTATAGACTAAAAATGCTGAATTATATCATCGCAACAACTAAACAAATTTTCGCTGGCTCTTAGAGAACTGAACAGTAGTAATTCTTATCGACGAAAAGTAATCCACAATCATCAAGGCAACGCGCATATTTTCAACACATACAACATATTTTCCATTGACAAATGGTTACTGAAACTGCTGCAACTGCATAGAGCGCTTCACGATGCCGCATCGGTTCAGTGCACAACGGTTTTATGACACGGTTTCAAAAAGAACGGTTTAAATTGGCAAACGGCTGCAGCTGGATAGGCGTGCGCCTGACAGAAAAAAAGCTGGCAGTAATCCAGAACAGGATAATGAGGATAGTGGCAAAGGCTCCATACTTCAGAAACAGGACGCTGAGAAGAGATCTGCACCCAGAAGACCTGCTGGACGGCATCCAGGAACTAACAGCAAAGTTCCTGGATAGGTGCATCATCGGATAATGACGATTTTGCTGTTACCCCCTTAGCTTCAAGTATTAAATCAGTTTAAAAAAAACAACAAGAAAAATGAAACGCACGAACATGTTGTAAGTTGTTATATCACCAGTTTCGGAGAGTACAATTGAAAAACTAACCACAAATCCGCTGGAACAGAATTTTCATAACCACAATGACTTTCAGTCCTGCAGATACATTTTCTGAGAGGGCTTTTAAGGACTAAGTTTTTTTAAGATTATTGTCTCTGAAGTTTTCTTATTGCAGATTGAGGTTGATATTTGAAATTTGTTGACTGATTTGAGATGTATTTCAGTCAAGTCGGTCTACCTGGATGGATCCAATCAAACAACTTGTTGTTCAATAATAAAAAACATAATTTTTGTTCAATGATCACAGGTCGGGCCTTGGCTCCGGGAACAAGCTAAAAGGGAACAAAGAAGTCTAGTTAACGTAGCGACTGGATGTTTAACTCGGCTCTTAAGTGGCTTCTTGACAGTCACAACGCGGCTCTAAGAAAATTGTTTTTAAAAGCTTAATTTGGATGGCTTTATCACGTTTTGCGTGTTTTATATCTTTGGCTTTTCTTCTGAGATAAAACTGCGAATTTTCCAAAAAAATCACTTACCTTGGCCAAAGCCACTGCCGGAAAAGTGTCCCAAGTAAGTTCATGGTCTTCTCCACTATTGCCCATTCGTTGGCCTCGCAAAATTCTGGAAGCTGTTGTGGTTGCCACGCCCATTCCATCGCCAACAAAGAGAATGACATTTTTTGCGAAAGGTCTTTGATCGGTCGCATATTGCAGCCGCTTCCTCAGTGCGATCCTGGCATGTTCATACCAATATTCCTTATCTGAAAGGGAAAGCAAACTTATGAAAGTCACCAAACACTCAATTACTAGTGTGAATATTTCGCGTAAGAATAAAGCAATTGCATCGCATCGAATTTAAGCTACCCTAGTGGTGGTTAAAGCTCTGCAGACTATGAAATTGCTTTATTGTCCTAATGAATTCTGGGGAGACGGTGCAAGGCATTAGGAATTCAAATTCAATTGGCGCCACTAATTTATATAGACTGTCTTTCACCAATCAACGCATTTATTTATTTTTTCGGGGTCCCAATTGCGTTAGCTTGGTGGGAAAAATGGACGGAAATAATCGCTAGTTTGGCGACAATAATTAAATAATCCAACATCTACTAACTTTCCAGTTTCCACTGGATATAATGAACGGGAAACGACAATCGATTGCATTTTGATTGTTCGAAACGTGAAAATGGAAAAAAGGATTAATGAAGTAGTCAGTCGAGAGGAACGGTTTGCGGAAATGGAACGAACTCGTCCACCAGTGATCCACGTGATTTCTCGAATGGTTTTCTTAATGTGACCGGATTGACGGATGATTTTGGAGCAGAAATTTTAAACTACAATATGCAGGACTAGCACAAAGTCGGTGTTCTCAGTTCCTATCGATCTGATTTGAATTAAAGTGCAGTTATTGCACTGGATTTACTTTTGATGGGAAATACCATTTAGCAAGAAAATACACGAATTTTTTATGGCAATTTTGTACAAAAAACAGAGTCCAGCTAAATAGATTTCAATTGAGTGTTGCTGCAGTTCAAAGGGCAAAGAAATTGATTTTAATTTTAATTAATTTATTTGATTTTATTTAGCTTTAAAGAAAAAGCAATTTATTAATAATATGCCTTAATTTAGTCGGTTTTATGGTATTTGGAGTTGTACAGGGTGTCCCGTAAGCACATGATCAAAAGGGTACTGCGGTATTCTTTGGATCAAAAGAAGATGATCTGACCTAACTTTTATTAACCAAAATAAACTAAAATAACAAAAGTTCTTTTTTTTTTGCCTCAAACTCGCTGTGAATTTGTTCTTATGTAGGACTCATATTTTGATGGAACAATCGAGTTCAGCCGTTTTGGTGTTGAATTTTTGAGTGTAGTGGTACAAAAACTACCAGAACTTTTAATTTGATGGATGGAATCATTTAATTTTTTTTTGGTGGATGCACTGATCATGTATTCATAATTTTGTTCTCTGTTGAAAATCTTGCAGCATTTATAGTTTTTGGGTATAAAATATGTCTAATCGCTCGCGTAAACGCGTACGCTTTCACGCAAGTTGTCTTCGCAAAACCCCAATACTTTGACCATGTCGGTCACTTCTTCATTAGAAAAGGTCATTCGAATCAAATTTGTGAGATTGATTGGCAATTAATTCATGCCTCGTATCACGATATTTGCAGTGCATGTCTAACATGGTTAGGTGGCAAGAAAACAGAAATATTTTTTCGCAAAAAAACTATGCTGCAAGGTTTTACAAAGAGCATAAAAATTATGAATCAATTATCAGTCCATCAACCAAAAAAAATGAGTTGATTTTATCCACCAAATAAAAAGTTCTGGAAGTTTTTGTACCACGACACTCAAGAATTCACCACTTGTCCAAAACAGATGAACTCAATTGTTTCATCAAAATACAGGGTGTTTCAAAATTGGCGTCATTCCTCTGGAGGTGTTGTCTGGCGCTGTTATATGAGTACAGAAAAAATAGTAAAATAAATTAATTGTTATTAAAAACTGAGAAATTTGCAAAAAACTATATCAGAAATACGGCAGCAATGTTTTTTAAGGTAATCTGGCTAATTAACATTGCGCAAATACCTGTTGCTTCGTAATAATTTAAAACTCCGGTAACCATGGAATTATACAGACTGACAATAAGATAGACAAGGATAAACGGTTAATTCAACAAGATTTGTTGACGAAATGTCAACCTGTTCTGATAATCTCGAATACTGCGGGGTTTTGTGTTTACATAAATAATACATACAACACCAAACATTTGAATGGTTAACTCCAAACAAGCTGGTGTCCGTGTAATCTCCTTATTATCCACTCTCATCGAGCAGCTTTTCGTATTCAGTTAATTAACTCGTGCTCCATTTGTATCTTCCTGTGCTGTGTATATCGTACAAACGCCTTTCCTCGGTATTTACTTGGTGCATTGGAAAGTGTCAGCTATTATGCTCTGAGTACCCCTGGAAGGCCCTGATTCGATTATGTCCAATACTTGTTCCTCTATGCCTGGAACCCGAACATCGATTGTAGTCCACTATCTTCCTGGAACCACTCTTTGTTGGCGTGAGTTCGTTCAGCTTCTGCTATGTTATTGTAGCATTTCCCTTGAACTAATCGCAGATCCGCAAATTCGTGAAAGAAAATTCAGAATAAGTCACAGTTTGACAGATTATTGTTATTATACAAGGGCTATCCACCTGTAACTATCTGTTAATGACAAAAAACATCATTGCCGCTGTGCCTTTTCATCAAAAAATTGTAGAAGAGAACTTTTTTGA